CTCTCTCTCTCAAATAAATAAATAAAATCTTTAAAAAAAAAAAAAGGGATGAAGTACTGATTGATGCTACAACATGAATGAACCTTGAAAATACGATGCTAAGTGAAAAAGCCTGTCACAAAAGGTCACATAGTATATGATTCCATATATGTGAAATGTCCAGAATAGGCAAATCCATAGAAAGAGAAATCAGATTAGTGGGTGCCAGGGGCCTGGAGGGAGGGGACTGACTACTCATGGGCATGAGGTTTCTTTATGAGGGGCTGAAAACTTCCTGGAACTAAGTAGAGGCATAGTCACACAGCATCGGGAATGCTAAATTCCACTGAATTGTAAATCTTAAAATAGTTAATTTTATGTTAGGAAAATTTCACCTCAATTTTTAAAAATGCAAAGAACAAAACAAAAAAGCCCCAACAACAACAACAAAGCCCTGTGCATTCCCTGGACACAGCTTATCTAATACTTGGTGGTTTGGAGCAGGGATTCCCCGCAAGTACAGGACTGGGAAGGAGCTGGCTTGGTGGGAGGCATTTGCAGGTCGTGCACGAATGTGAGTCAAGAAAGGCCCTGTTCAGGAGTCGTGGGATGCATTGGCCTTTGAGGTGGTGAGGAAATCTCCACCCCCACCTCTCGCTCAAGTCTTGTTTTGGATTGAGAGTCACGGGAAAGAGTCTGAGGTCCAGCTGACCACAGAGCATAGAGGAGCTGGAAGAATCTATAAGCATTCTTGGTCTGTGGCCTGACACAGCACAGCAGTGTGGAGGATGTGGGAGGGATTGTTGAAACATGTTCCTGTTGTTTCTTGGATCAAAACTTTCCTAGGGTTCTGAAGACCCCTAGGGCTCTTTCTTTGTGCCTAAGTAAACAGATGTCGGGTTGTGTCCCCATAGTCTTGTTCTTTGGCATCAGGTGACTCAGGACCTGGGTGTGACTAAGAGGACGTAGTTTAGTATCAGTCATATCCCTGGAATCTCCAAGGTATGAATGGAGAGAAGAAAGGAGCCCATGAGCCATCTCTGCCTGTCTCCTGTCTCCTTGCTTTGTTTTCCCTGGCCAGGGGGTCCTTGGCTGTTTTGAGGACTAGAAGAAGTACAGTCAGACCAGGGTCAGAGATCGCTGACCCCTAGCCTCCTGAGCAGGACTTTGACCAGCTTTGGCTCAGTGGATTGTTCCTTTCCCCAGCCCGAATACTAGTTTCTGTGCTTCTTGGTGTTTCCGTGAGCGATTGGGAAGGAGGAGGAGGAGGAGGAAGATGGATTTCCAATTTCCCAATGTAACAGTTCACCCCCTTCTCTTTCCTGCAGTGTTTGAACTGGTCAACCAAGGGTGAGTGTCCCGTTTTCCTTGCGGGTGTGATTCCTGAAGCTTCTCAAGCCGCAGAGCTTCTCGAGGGAGGTGGTGCCTGGTTCTGAAGGCCAGTGTATCTGGTTTGCTTTTCATGTGTGCATCGACCTTCCAGGCCTGTGATGGAAGTGCCCACCCTCAAACCACTCTCGGAAGACCAGGCCCGTTTCTACTTCCAGGACCTGATCAAAGGCATAGAGTACCGTAAGCGGGGGCCTGTGGGAGGATTCTCACCCAGGGTTGGTTAACATCCCAACTAGCGGATGGCAGGTGGGAAAGTGGACTTTCCCTCCTGGAGTGCAAGCAGGAGGGTGAGAGACAGAATTGTCTGACATGCAGTCTTGGACAGCTACAGAAAGCCATGCTCATGATGGAAAAAGAAACCCTTCTTCTGCCACAAAAATTAAGAGCCGTATTGATAATGACTGTTTCCCCCAGCACTTTCTGTGTGTACCAGGCACCATTAGGGGCTGTATTTATATTGTCCCTTATTCCCAGCAACCCTGGGATGGGGATCCTGTTCACCTCCCGTTACCTTAGTTTTCTCATCTGTTAAACGGGAATAAAGTGTCTCTCACCAGGGTGGAAATCAGCCAGTTCATATCAGTAGTTCTGACAGGTGTCCTTTCTGCTTCTGGTTGTTAAACATTTTGTCTCTTCCCCTTGCCCATCACATAGGATTGTTGGGAGATTTTTTTTTTTTTT